CAAATGGTTCTAAATTAATACATTCCTGCCAGAAAAATATAGGTAAACAACTACACAGTGTAGAAGTGATGATCTGCACCCTCAAAACCTTCACAATCTTTTTTTAAAGTCTTCACAGTCTTTCAACAGCTTTGGTGTAAACAGTAATACTGACATGTACACACCCACAAGCACCTTAAATACATTTTCCTTCACAGTTCAGAGACAACTTTCATGTGCTGAACGGGATTTCTCAAAGACTCTCCAGTACTGAAGTGATGATGGACAGCACCATCTCTCAGCAAAATCCTGTCTGGATATCTGATCTCTGAAAATATCCTGGCCAGACTCACAACCTGTTCCTATGTGGGTTTTTTTTTAATCTGCATCCAGTTTTGGTCACCACAATATCAAAAAGATGTTGAGATTCTGGAAAGAGTGCAGAGAAGAGCGACAAAGATGACTGGTGGGGCTGAAGGCTAAAACACATGAAGAACAGTTGCAGGAAGTGAGTATGTCTAGTGAAAAGAACAACTAGGGATGACATGATAGCAATATTCTAATATTTGCGGGGCTGTCACAAAGACGAGGGGGGTCAACTATTTTCCAAAGCACCAGAAGGCAAGACAAGAAGCAATGGATGGAAACTGAACAAAGAGAAAAGCAAGATAGAACTAGAGAGAAATTTCCTGAAAATAAGAACAAACTGCCTTCAGAAGTTGAGGGTGCTCCAACACTGGAGGCTTTTAAGAAGGAACTGGGCAACCATTTATCTAAAATGGTATAGGATCTCCTGCTTGAGCAGGGGGTTGGACTAGAAGACCTCCAAGGTCTCTTCCAGCTCTTGTTATTCTGTAATCTCTGACTGGATCTGATTCAGAACTGATTTCTCGTCCAATTTCTGATTTAGCCTGATTTCTAAAAAGCCTTGCTATGAAAAATAGAACTTCAGATCATTGCTTCAGCTACCTTGATCTTATACCTGTAGATTATTTGTAGACTCATAACCAACAGAATCACAAACATGCATCCAGAAGAGTGACTGAGAGCTAGTGTGATCTAGTGGTTAAGGCACCAGGCTTAGGAGATTGTGAGTTCTAGTCTCGCATTACACATAAAAGCCGGGTGGGTGATTTTGGAGCAGTCATTCTATCTTAGCTATGATGTCAGGTTTGAGTGACAAGCTGGTCAGTCAATTTCTGTCGCAACCATTGGATGAACACTTGTTTGAAAACAAAAGTAGACTCTGCCCTTGCGGGAAAACATTAGGAAGAAAAAGAATCTATAAGAGTGACCTCAATTGGTCTAAACACTGTAGTCCACCATATTCTGTACCATATTTAGGAACTGAATTCCTACATGGGAACTGTCTAAAATGCAGATTACACTTTTTTTGGAAGGATTAGCTTTGCATCCCATGAGATCCGGAGCACAAATTGGTAAAGGAGCTGATATGATGGAAGAACTGAGAAATCCCAGATTCAAATGTAACCTTGACTCTGAATTCCTGTGTCCTTAGACAAGATGCTGCCTCTGACTCAATGCTTCCCACCTCAGTGGGATAATAGAAATAATAACAATTATCTCTAACAGGAATGCAAGAAATGTCCAGATAACATACACAAAGCATTTGGAATAATCTAAAGCACTTTATAATTCCTAATATTACCTAGAATCTTAATCTACATGATGTATATATATAGTCTGTACATTGGAATGTCTTTTTTTTAAAAAGAATTTATATAATCTTTCCAAATGCAGAGGCCACTAGATGGCTAGAACTATTTATTTATCATTATTTATATAACAGCTTTTACATTTCAAGTGCTTTATGGTTTTTATTTCTCTTTCTATGATGCAACATGATCCCTGCATCACACAATCCTATGACTAACATTTATTTAATGTATATCCTGAAAAATTCATGATTCTAAAATGGCAAAAATTTCATCCATCGGCTTGGCAATCACACGACTTTCAGACTTTAGCAATTCCTTAAATTTGCTCATACATCATGGGAGACTCAATTGAGAGACCCCAAAGATCTTGGATCCCCTTCTTTGTAATTAGCGCCATGCTGAAAATTTCTTCTGCATTTTACCCCACTGTTCTCATTAAGCTTGATGAAAAACAAACAAGGATTCTTGTAGTGATCCTGGTCAAAGCAGCTGGGTGAGCTTCAATCCTTTTGCAATTGTTCGTATAAGTGTTTCAACTCGCCACGGCCAACTCACTGCGGCCAACTCAACATGGCCCACTTGCCACAGGAAGAGTTACACTATTATAGAAAAAATAGTGGAACAGGCTCATTACAGATAGCATGCCAAAGGAGGGACAAAATGAAATGTGAGTGACAAAAATTAAAATATTTTTAAAATTAGTTTAAATCAGGGGTAGTCAACCTTGGCTCTTTTATGACTCGTGGACTTCAACTCCCAGAATTCCTGAGCCAGCTAAGCTGGCTCAGGAATTCTGGGAATTGAAGTCCACGAGTCATAAAAGAGCCAAGGTTGACTACCCCTGGTTTAAATGATTACATTGAATAGTTGAATTGTCCTGCGGCGAGTTGTCCATGGTGAGTTGACCCATTCATTCCATCTCAGTCTGCCTTACTTCCCACATTTACCGCAATAAATGCCAAGGGAAGACATCTGGAGGACATTCCTCCAATGGGAGGTCAGAGACTGGAGAAGAAACTTCTGCCACTTTAATGCAAGCTCAAAAACACCACCAAATGAAATGACGAATCAGCCTAAGAATAAAGCAGAAATACTGCCGTGGGGGATAACCCTTTCAGGAAACTGGAAGACATTTTCAGCCAGGGCTAGCTTTATCCAGAAAGTTAACCTCTATGGAAACAACTACACAGAATTACTCCAAATTCAAAGCATGGTGGCAATAACTCAAATGCCTCCAAGGGATCAGAAGCAAGGCAGGAGGGTATGTGAGGTTCAAATACTCTAAATAGCTTCGAATTATCTATACACATTCATAAGGCAGCAAAAGGCCCAATTCAAATAAAAAAAAAATAAGACACACACACAAAAAAACCCCTCAAAGTACACAAAAGGTTCACAAAATTGCAGGGTTCGGAAACACTAGGAAATAGTCTAGCCCAGGGGTCCCCAACACCGGGTCTGTGGACCGTCACTAGTCCACAGCATGCCAGAAACCGGTCCGCACAAAGAAGTGAAGCCCCATCCGTGGGATGCAGGCAGCATATGAAACCACACCCCTTCCTGTCTGCAGAAAAATCTCTCTCCACCAGAACCGGTCCCTGGTGCCCAAAAGGTTGGGGGCTGCTGGTCTAGCCAACTATTTTTTAAGACATCATTGCTGATATGTTTTCCCTCACCACACACACCTAACCCCCCAAGACAATACTTTAAAGCAGGGCTTTCCTAATCTTTGAGGTGTACCTCCTTTGGGGAGATGCAGACAGAGAGTCCAGGGGAGATGTGAAGAACCTTTTACTTGTACCTTACTACAGTAGATCCAATTTCCCCAAAATTTCATTGTATTGTTTTCATTGTTCGTTTAATTTTGAGAGATGTGCACACTCGGATTATACTAGAGGAGGTCTGATGGCAAAACATTTAGGAGCCCCTGCTTTAAAGAGATCCCTTGGCCTCTGACCATATTAAAACAAAGCACTAGAACAGGGGTCCTCAAACTTGGCCATGTTAAGACTTGTGGACTTCAACTCCCAGAATTCCCCAGCCAGCTGGGGAATTCTGGGAGTTGAAGTCCACAAGTCTTAACGTGGCCAAGTTTGAGGACCCCTGCACTAGAAGCACTAACATGAGTTCATGGCTGATCTTACAAGTCCCTTACAGCAGTAGTCCCAAACCTTTCCGGCTTTGTGGACTGGCAGCAGTGAACGGGCAGGGAGAAGAGGGGATGATTCCACATAAGCAGCAGGTGAGTGTGCTCGTGCGCGAACCTCCATTTGCACAAACAGCAGGCACACACACCTGCCGCTTGCGCAGCCTGGTTCCGAAGGGCTGTGGTCTAGGGATTGGGGACCCCTGCCTTACAGGATAAATTTGCCAAGAACAGCTGACATGACTATGATTTTAGAAGCCGAATTCTAGGAAATCTGAAAATCATGCTCAGGCTCATGGTCCTCCAAGTCCTATGATCTTAACATTCAGTATGAGAGAAAGAAACTTACAAGACATTAAGTAATGTATGAGAGGGCCACTGAGGGCCAATATCAGCTAGCACCCGTGCAGGAGAGATTTTCCATCATTACGGTGCCCAGTTATGAGTGCATATTTGAATATGCAATTAAATTAAATCTTTATGAGACAGCCCATAAATCAGTGGTATTGCATGCAGATGATCCCCAATTCAAATCTCTACACAAGATCTAGTCTGGGTCAATCACCGGGACCAGAGATTTTAGTCTTCCAAGCTTTCAGACTAGTGCTGGAGCCCTACCTCAGAGAACTTCTCTCTGCCAGAATTAATGCTTTGGGCTATTCCATGCATCATATTTATGTGGCGAATTCCTATTGGTTGATTGGTGTGTTGATGGCCAACGATTGGCTGTTGTTTCCTTGTGTTCAAATCTCTATGATTTAATTCGTATCTATAAATAAAAGAATGCTCGACATCCTATAAAAACTGCAGTTCAAGAAGACTGACTTGACACATGACTTTCTTTTACCCCTTAACTGTAACTTGATTGACTGTAGGTACCACACATTTAAAATAATTAAGCTTATTCTGCATCTTATATACTGTAACAGACAAGGACAAACTTAAAATACTGAAAAGCATCTTCAAGTGGCCTTTAAAAGGTCCTGCAACATTCAATGAGGCCTCTGAAAGCTCAACAGAGGACTATGGAGACAGACAATGATTAAAAGAACACATAGCAAAGTCCTCCAAGACTTTTCTTCTCTGCCAGCACCACTGGGGGACCCCCCCCCCCCGCAACTGCTTTGATTCAACTCCTTTTCATTCCAATGGAGCTCTTGCAAAGAAGATTAATGCTCACGGACTGAATACTGTACTCAAGAATTTTCTCTATAGAGAAATCCTTAAATTGAGTAGGTTTTCCAAAAACACCTGAAATATTTAAGCAAGAGATCATATTAAATGATCCTTAATCCTCCTAGTTATAAGAATTGGGCTATTCATTTGTGGGTGCAACTACAACTGCTCCTTGACTTGCAACAAAAAAAAACCCTATTTGCTTTTTAAAAATCCTTCTCTTCCAATATTGCTCAGACACGCAATTCTCCTGACTTTTCATTCAGATATGTGTGAGCTGATTTTCAGCACAATGTTGGCAATATCAAACATTTCTGGTTAAATGGAATCCAAGGATGTGTACCCCGTGGCTGTCTTTTCCTAGGTTAGCGTGACCTAGTTTTCTGGAGGGGTAATGCTGGTGGGGAAGGAAGTATTTCATTGGGGTTCTTCTTCCCAGGGAGTACGAGAACGGAACACATGGGAATTTTTCCAAAGCTGCTCAGGCAATCTCAGAAAAGGATCGCTTCTGAAGCAGCTTAATAAATCTAAAGTATTGCTCCAACTTTTAAGAATTCTGCTTTGAAACAATCCATTTGTTAGAAAAGACATAAGCAAGAAAGACAAACAAAACAGAAAAAAAAATCCCACTAAATACAAATACAAACATGTAACAAAGACTATGAAATTTCTTTGTTTAAATATATACAAATTCTTTTAGACTCAAATACTGCTTTTTTTTAATGCTGTCTTTCAGGGAGTGAATGACGAATGACTACTTATAAATTTCTATAGCGATTATGAGGTGAGGAAGATAAATTGAAATATAGAATAGAGTAGAATCTATTGCAACAGCCTAGGAGAGAATTGTTAAAATTTACGGTATGGTAAATCTTTTGTATCCCCCAAAGAAAAAGTCAACTCCATTCTGAAGTAGAAAGGTTGATTTCTTTTTTTTCTCCTCTTTTTTTTGTTAGATGTTTTTGGAAGATGTTTATGGGATGAAAGAAAGGAGTTCCAGTAAAAAGTCGACTTGAGTAAGCAAACCTAAATTATTTTCGGTAGGGCACACAGGAGTACACCCACAAATTCCGTCGAAGACAAAGTTTCCAGAAACGCGTGTGAAACGTAAAGGACAGTCTCCGCCTAGCTAAGTACCTAAGGAGGAGTCCCGACCCGAACAAGAGGACGACTAACAGAAGAGGTCTCGGTAAGTGTTTCGAAACAGGCTGAGGTTCCTTCAGCTTATGGACAATGAAGAGATGCCTAGACAAAGAGACATGGGACGTATAACAAAGACCGCATTCCCTGCACTGATAGGAAGAGCCATCAGATTTGTGCTGGGGAATATGTTCGTGGAACTGAAGCAGGTTCTCGGTTGTGAAGCCACAGACGGCGCATTTGTGAACTTTAAAAACATTGATTTTCAACTTCTTCAGCGGCTGGGTGATGGCCCCTCGAGGGGGCCTAAATTCCAACACGGGCTCCTCTAATTTACGCTTTGGACTGGGAACCTGAAGAAGTTGAGAACAACATTAAACAAGTCCATTAAAGAGACAAAGTACAACATGGCTAGTCACTTTCATACAGAGTTCTTGTCAGCGAAATGAAGTTTGAGACAGAAGTCCAATCTGCAGTATAATGTATAGAATGAACTTTCATATATTATGAAGACGGTGACCACCATAGGGTGACTTTAAGAAGGAAGTCATAGTGGATTAAGAGGACAGGCATTTCATCCATTATTAGACACAATAATGTCTTTTTCTATCTTTACAAAGTAGGGTTGTGTCCTTTACAAGGGTAATAAACAAATGGTACCAGACAAGCAGCAGGATATGCCCCAATCACACATTTCTAAAAAAAGGGATGTGCAACGTTTTCCCCAGTCCATGAGTCTGCTATATCAGGACAAAGACAAATGGAAGGGGCCAGGGATAAAACTGTATTTGATTTAATTTTAATTAGATACAGCTCATATGATGACTCCCCATGGACTTACTGTAAATCTTTTTGCTGTTTCCGAAGATGAAAATTCAGTGGCAACGTTTTGAAAGAATTCTTTGGTCTGTACCAAAAGCTTTGAGATCAGGGCACAGGTTTCAGGTTATAGAGAGATGGAAACTACACGGACTTTGATGGACCTACACAACAACCTTTTTAAACCTCAGATGCCATATATATCTGGGGAGTAGACTTGACAGACATCTGTTTCTAGCAAAACTAGTTCTCGAAGCACAGCTTGCCTCTGGCCTGTTTCCAGAAAAATGGAAACAGGCACAAAAGATGCCAAATGTTCCATCATGCAGATATTTACCAGCTATATCTAATGTATACCGAACAGGAAACCCTTTCCACCTGCAGACTATATGATCTCAACATGCTCTGTAGCCTTCTGATTAATCTGAAAAAGCCATAAAGTCCCAAAGGCCAGTTCGGCGCTTAGTATATTGTGCTTGGAGGAGAACCACGGACCCTTTTAATCCATGGACTCAGTTCCAAGGTCAAATCATAGATAATGAAGCAACAAATGAGACCTGAGATAGGAATTGAGAGGGTTGCTTTTCTAGAGCTTTTGGTTATTCTTTACCTTCTATAAAAGCTTCCTCCCTTAGAGTTTATCTTTATGATCCATATACAAAAGGGATACACTGCTATGACCAATGTTTCGATTTTTGACTTCCTGTGAATGCTGCTATAAAGGAGGAAAAAAATATATGCATGCTTCCACAGAACTATAACCCACAACGATGCATCATGAAAAACATGATAGCTCACCTTCGTGTCTTCCTTGATTTCACTTTCTCCCATGTTAGTGGATTCTGCCATTTCTTTCACATCAGGTTCTTTAATGCCATGCATCAACTGAATATGTTTTTCTAGCATTAATCGCTTAGTAAAAGTTCTTCTGGAATCCGGGCAATGCCTGAAGAAAACGTAGAGCAGGCTATGAACAGATAGCATCAAATGTGGGTTGTGCCATCCAAATTATACCCAAAGATGAAATCAATACCTAACCAAGATGCATGAAAAGTGAACGTTCGCCTTCTCCATGACTCTGAGGTAAGCCTACAAGATAAAAGATCTGATGGACCCACTGGGGGGTAGCATCATACGAATAACACCCACAATGATTATTCAAAGATTTTGCAAATCTGAAGATCTATGGGAAATCTTTGGACAGTTGCCTGGCCTGGTACTATGTGGCACTGCTGAATATTTGTCAGCTTACCATAAACAAAAACTTTCAAAAGCAGAACTTACGAGCAGGTGTAAACTTTCCTGATGCCTTTGTGCTTGATACGATTGTGACGGCAAAGACTGTGCGATGAACTGAATGATTTGTCACACTGACGACAAGGATGTTTCTTCATTTGCTTTAATGAAAGGAAATAAAACATTGAAGAAAGAGCAGATACCTTTAAACGTCAACAGAGGGATTCAGATTGCAGCTTTAGGGAGAGCATCCTGAACAACAGGGACTCTTGGAAACAATCTAGCAATCCTAGGAGGACACAACTGCAAAACAATCAATTGTGTGCAGATTTAAGTTCTTAACACAACACTTAACACAAAACTTCTGAAATAGGATTGAAGTTCATCATGTCTGTGTCCAATTCCACCATGTCCACTAGAGGGAGATGCACACAGTTCATTTTTGAAAATGATGAGAATTACTTCTCCCTTACTTGTAATAAGTACCTACAGATAGTCCTCGATTTATGCTAAGTGACCAGTTGAACTTACGACGGATCTCCCCGAGGCTACTTAAGAACCAAATTCAAACTTCTGATAGCCATTTCCAACGTCACACGATAGCATTTTGGGCACTTGGCAACTGACTCACATTTATGGTTGTTTGTAGTGCCCTGCAGTCACATGCCACAATTTAGGATGATTTTGATAAAAAAAACAATATTTACTTCTGTTTTCTGGCAAAAATTGTCCATTGCAGACAATGGGTTCATTTAACAACTGCTGCATTTGCTTAATGACAGGGGTGACCCACTGCCCAACGCCCAATTCCAACTGCTTCCCCAGGCCCATAGAAGTCAGGGAGAGACATTAATATAGACCAGATGTCAAAAAGCAGAGGAATGAATACATAAACACAAACCCCAGTTGTTAAATGTAGGTCAACACAGGGATCCACCCAACCATCTTTTTCCCCCCCCATTTTTTGTAGTCAGATCTTCTGCCAGAGTGTTTTGCCCCAGATTCCTATAATCAATTCTTTTAGGCTTATAGGCACAGTGCTTTAAATTCAAAAGCAAAAAGATACTACTGAACACATGTGATGCTTATGCAACACTTTCTCTGTAACTCCCTGACACAGCTGCATCCTTTTCCAGGTTCCACCTCTCCAACTGTAGAGGTGAAAAAGGAAACCGAGGACCAGAAAACGTGCAGACTTCTGCTATGTGGCCTATTTCAAAACTTCTTTATTCTACAGTCTTCCTGTAGAGTCAGTTTCCGGATCCGTGTGGCCAAAACAGTATGTGAGACCTCTGTCAAGTCCTAACATACAGCAGGTGATCAATTAAGCCATGGAAAGTCTGGAAGTAAGTGATTTAATGTTGAGTCTTGATTGGGGACCCAGACAGCAGTGCAATCCTGTGAAAACATGTATACTTTAAGTGGGTGCTGAAAGATACTATCTGGGTATCCATGGAGAGTTTGAAGTGTCTTTCTACAATCAAATCTGAAACCCTACACAACCCTCCTGCAGACCTCCTTCCCCAGGATAAATATACACGAGCCCAAGGCAAATAAGGGTTGAGGGTTTACCTAATTAACTAAGAGGACTGGAGACTGACCTGTTGAAGAACATCTATGGTTTGTCCAGCTTCAAGAGTTTCCAGGGGCATCTAAAGGACTGCTGTTACAACCACATGATACCACCTTCTCTAACCTGGTACTACCAGAAATACAGGATATTTAATTTTTTTAAATCCAGATATCTGGAGTGTGCCTTGATGAGTTCCCCTCCTGAACTGGGATGAGAACTCTGAAGTCATTTGATCTAACTTTTGAGTCCACCCAGCCCACCCACCATCTCTCTCCCTAGCTCAAAGTTGAGATAGGATTCTAATTCATGAAAATACCCCTATTTTTGATAAAACACGTGATTGGTAAGAGAAAGCTTTCTCCATGAGTATAGAGGGTTACTTCCCTCCCTCTCTGCATTTGTCTAAGAAGAAAGAGGCGGAGAAGAAAGACATCTGAAGAAAAGCAAGACTGGGTGTTGGGTTCAGTTCAGAAGGAGGGGCTTTCACTCTTTAAAATTTTGCTCACTGAGATACGCTGGCCGTACAGGGACAACTCAACCCATGGGCAGATTACATTCTGAGCCCTGTTTCAGATCACATCACCACCCCCACCTGTCCTAGGGATTCATCCTCCTTTGATGGATGCCATTCCTTGATTCACATCAGGCATCTTCCAGGCCTTGAAGCAACCTGAAAGCAGCAACATCATCTCTTTCAACAAAGCACTCGCAAGCAGAACACCCTGCAACTGAAGGTTGGAAACCACAATCCTAACACACCATATCTGCTACAGACAGAGTGGTGCAGTAGTTAAGGTGCTGGAGTATAATGTGGGGACAGAGATCCGGATTCAAACCACCCTCAATCACAGAAACTCAGTGGAGGGCTTAGAAGCGGTTGCCTTTGCCTGCTCAACCTACCTCTGGGACTGTTTTTGTGAGAAATATGTTGTCTGAGCTTCTGGAAGAAGATAGTTTTGCTTGCAAGCAAATCAACAAAAACATGCATCTTCAGCCATCTGCCCGCAGATGTGCAACCCTTTTCACTCATAGCTTTGGAAAGAAACTAAATCTGCATTTTATTACACCAGCTTACTTCAACCAATTATTCTGGGGAGTAGCTGGGGAGCAATTTGGATAAGACCCTGCCCTGATTAGCGAAGGTGCACTGGCTGAGGATGATGAAAGCTGCAGTCCAACATACCTGCAGTTTGAGGAAGGTTGCATTGCAGCATCTCTCACCCAGCGACTCAGACCTGTAGGAAGCTGTTTCTGTTACTACTAATATCTTGGAGCCAATTTCATTTTCACAAGATTTCCCACGGGTCCGTTTTCTGCTTTCTTCCTCCCATACTTCCTCAACCCTCTCAAGACAGCAAAACTGGCATTATTTTTATTAGGTTTACTCCTGCCTAGGGGTATGCACTGAGTATCATCACAAAAATTTATGAATCAGCTCCCCCACACCCCGTTTGCTCAGGAAAGGGGAACATAATTTGCTACTCCTATTCAGCATTTGAATCATACATCTTCCAAATGTATTTGCTCTATACCTGGCCTTTCTACCATCTCCCAGGACCTTCTCCCAGCACTCAGCAAATGTTCCCTAATTCTTGCACATGATTAGTCCACTCTAGCTTTGACAATGGAGTTGTGCAATTGGATTTCCATAGATGTAAAGGAACGTGCCTTTTAATTCTTTCTATTGTCAGCTGGAAAGCGCTCAGTCTGGGTTCAAAACCAGACCACCGTGCAACGGAGTGAGCTCCCGTTCCTTGCCCCAACTCCTGCCCACCTAGCCTTTGGCGTATAGCCATGCTGGCCTCATAACCATGGAAAATGTCTTCAGACAATGCTGGCTCCCTCAGCCAAAAAACAGAGATGAGCATTGCATCCTAGAGTCGAACACAACTGGACAGGGAAACCTTTAACTTTTATTGTATCCTAGAAGCTCCCACCTCCAATAGTCTAATGCAGGGCTTTTCAACCTTTTTACCCATTGTATCACTTTTAGGATATGGCAATATCCGAGTACCACTAGTCGCCTAGCAAGGTGTCAAAAACTTGATGACCCCCCCAAAAAAGGAAAAAAGTGATAAAGTACAGGTAGTCCTCGACTTACAACAGTTCGCTTAGTGACTGTTCGAAGTTACAATGGCACTGAAAAAAGTGCCCCCCAAGCCACAGCCAAGCAAGACACCTGCCTACCCACCCGGCTGCGCTCTTCCTCCTGTCTGAGGTTTTCATTGTTGTGAGCATTTCTGTTGAGGATTGAAAGGGTGGGTGGGGGGTGTTCGGTTTTTATTCCCCCCGTCTGCTGGGTGGTTGCAGCAGGTTTTGGTCACTTCACGTGACTCTGGGACACTGTGACCGTCATAAATATGAATCAGTTGCCAAGCATCTGAATGTAAATCACAAGACCCTGGAGATGCTGCAACATTCCAGCTGATCGGCGCTTCTTCTGGGCTCAGCAGAAGCACCAGGATCAGCGCCAAGCTCCAGCCGTAGCCTGGTGCTGATTCTGGCGCTTCCACTGAGCACTGACAGCCCCAAAGAAGCACCGATCAGCTGGAAAGCGGCACTGATCCTGGCGCTTCCGCTGAGCCCTGACAGCCCTGCAGCTCCAGCCATCTCTCGCTCAGGCTTGTGCGGTGCTGCCACCGGTTCAGCTCATTCCCCTCCCCCGCTACCACTTTTCTAGGATGGTCGCGTACCACCTGCCAGGTGCCAATGTACCACAGGTGGTACCCCTACCACTGGTTGAAAAGCCCTGGTCTAATGGACAGACAACTGAGAAAATGTTATGCATGCAAAATCTTATAGATGTGTGACAGTTCATTGTTTATAAAGCATGAACATCCATCGGGGCCAGTTCAGTTAGTCCTTACTTAGTGACCACTTGCTCAGCAACCATTCGAAGTTACAACAATGCTGAACATGAAGATTTATGACAGTCTTTGAAATTGTGGCCATTGTAATGACTCTATGTTAATATGATTGTTATTCAGGTGCTTGGCAACTGGCACATAATTATGATGGTTGCAGGATCCTACAACCATGATTTGTGACCGTCATTGCTAGCTCCCAACAAGCAAAATCAATGGGGAAGCCAGAAGGAAATCACAAGTTGTGGTCATGTGACATCAACAACCAGGCATGATTCACTTAATGACTGCAACTGGAACTGTCAGAACTATCATCACAAGTCAATGCGGTCACATGATTTTTCATGTTACGACTGCATTGTTTAGCAGCAGAGTTCCAGTCCCAATTATGGTCATTAACTGAGAACTATCTGTATTGTGATGTAAACCTTGCCCTTTCATACATGCATTGTGCTGTAGCATGCAGATACACAAGAACTTGGGTTGTGATGCTTATAAAGTCCTATACTTGGATCATGCCAGGGGCAGACTATATGTTAGAATTGATCCACGGAATGAAGCTGTTATATGAGGCTGTTTTACTGAGCAGAGGGAGCAGACCTGCATTCTCAGTGACTAATACGTGATGTCAACAAAGACAGCATCTTTAATTCATTAATAGAAGAGTAGCTAGTTTTAATCACGGAGTGCCCTGTGGCTGTTGTTTTCACTACAACCCTTCTTTTTCTTGGTCATTTTTAATATTTCAAATAATTTATAAAGCACTTACCGTCGTGTAGCACATAAAATTTTAACAATAATGCAAAAAATACAAGCCTTTTCTCACAGATCCAGATGGCCCTAACTTTTCTGTAAGGCTGTGAAGACCCTGTTTTCCTTCAGGTGTTAGGGCCAGGATATTATTAGGTGCATTTGGTTTTGTGAATTCTTGAGATGCCATGATTATGGCATTAATGATAATTTCCAATTGTATCGTGTTTTGTTTATGTTGGATCCATTCATCCATATATGTGTTGTGTGTGTGTATGTGTGTGTGTGTGTTTTTAAGATGGGAATAAAAAAATTATATAATGATTTTTTTTCTAATGTTTTTCCCATAAGTACAGACTCCCAAAGTCATGCAGCCAGCTTTCATGCCTAAGGCAAGACTAGAACAACTTCCTGGTTTCTAGCCTGGTGTCTTAGCCACTAGACCAGTGTTTCTCAACCTTGACAATTTTAAGGCATGTGGACTTCAACTCCCAGAATTCCACAGCCAGCATTGCTGGCTGTGGAATTCTGGGAGTTGAAGTCCACATGCCTTAAAATTGTCAAGGTTGAGAAACACTGCACTAGACCAAATGGTCTTTCTACAGCAAATATTCATTCATTCATTCATTCATTCATTCATTCATTCATTCATTTTGTATTTCTTAACCTCCCATCTGCCTCGTATAATATAAATAAATAAATGCATCCCTACAAAACCCCACTTATCATGTTGGAGAGATATTCTGTAATTTAATACAATTTAATGTAATGGAACTTGTAGTCCTAAATTCTTAAAAATTGTGAAAGGGTAATTAACTGCAGACTTATTTCTGAAGCTAATTTATTACGTGTGTGTACACTTATAAGGAATGCAAGAGAAAAATGCACAGGCAACCTTTTTTTAACAAACATAATTAATTTCATTTACTGAATGGTAGATGTTCACAGTTTCTTCAATACTGCCAAAAGAGTCATCTTCTGAGGCATGGTATAATCAATACATTTCACAGGCAATTCAATTCAGAAACAGACAGCTACTAAGAATAAAATATAATTCACTAACACTAATTCAGCACCAACTTAAAAAGCAGTTTGACTCTAATGTTTATACTGGTTGTGCTCATGGTACATGAACATCCCCTAGCCACCCACTCACCAGTCAACAGATTCACTGTCTTGTGTGCTGCATCAAACAACACAAGATGTCTGGACCTATCGTGCAGCAGTCATATTTTTTTAGTTCTTTAGTTCTTACAATGGCTACAAAGGAAGTTGTACTGGCCTTTCCACTTCCTGTCTTTTCATGTTTTTCTCCAACAAACAGAAGAAATTTTAAAATCCAGTGATAGGATTGTGGTCAGCACTGCTCAGACAGATTCAGGAGGGTTTCCCCCCCCCCCCCTGCTCCTATCTGGCTGAAGGGAGAGACCGAAATAGAAGAGACTATTTGGGAGTTCCCCAAATAATTCATTTTTGCTGGTCTCTTGTAAACTCAGGAATGAAGAGCTAAATAATATTCAGATAAGTCACTTCCTTCATAGAGAGAGATTTAGTTGATTGGAAGGAATTTGTTGAGTCCAAACAAGGCCAGAGATAAACAGTTCATCTGTGCAGGCTGGAGATTTTTCATGACACATATATCCTGCCTCAAGGATCTCAAGACTCTGTTAAGCATGTCATAAAATACAGGCAGTCCTCAATTTACATTCACAACCGAGCCTAAAATGTCTGTTGCTAAGGGAGACTAAGTGAGTTTGTCCCATTTTGCAACCTTTTTGCCACAGTTGCTAAGTGAATCATTGTAGTTAAGTTGGTAATGCAGTTGTTTAGTGAATCTGGCTTCCCCTTTGACTTGGCTTGTCAGAACGTCACAAAAGGGTGATCACATGACCCCGGGACTCTGCAACCATCATAAATACATGACAGTTGCCAAGTGTCCACATTTTGATCACTTAACCATGGGGATGCTGCAACGGGTCGTAAGTGTGAAAAATTGTCATAAGCCATTTTTTTCAGTGCAGTTGTAACTTTGACCTGTCACTAAATGAACTGTTGTAAATGGAGGACTACCTATAGAGCCCACATATAGAAGGATGTTAGAGCAACAACTTATTAGCACTGATGATGTTACCTAGTTTGGGTAATGAAACGTCTGCAAGAAAACAAGCAAGCTCAGAGAACACCAAGGACCCCTCAACAACTTACTTTTCCGTGCTCTTTTCTCATGTGGGATATGTAAACATCTCTCTGAGTAAACAGCCGATCACATTCCCAGCATGTCCAGCCAGGATTAGACACTTTTTTGGGCTCTGCTTTCTTCACAGAAGTGGGGGGATTCTTCTCTGCTTTTTCTGTCCCATTGATGGATTTTGAGTCCTCTTTATTGTGACTGACTGAATTCTGGATGGTAGGCTTTGTACTCAATGGCAAATTGATACCAAGATTCGGTGGTCCTTCAACACTTTTCAGTGTCCCATGCATAGACTGTGGAAGGAAGGAAGGAAGGAAGGAAGGAAGGAAGGAGGGAAGGAAGGAAGGAAGGAAGGAAGGAAGGCAATTAGATTATATCTGTTATTTAAAAGGAATATTGGAATATTCAAGATTCAAGTGAGTTTCTTTTTTTTATTATTATGGGCTTGTGTGCAAATAGTTGGGCATTTTATCAGTCTCATGTGACAATCAATCAGAGATAATTTAGGGTCACAATTTTGATGACCCTATACCATGATATTAGAAGACCTTATGCAATGACAATCAAACCACAGGAGACTTTGTGTGAGTAAGCTGAAATCTTACACAAGATTTGGTCTCATTGCATAAGGTCTTCTAATATCATAGTATAGGATCATCAAAATCGTGACACTAAATTATCTCTGAGATGTCACGCCATTTGAATTTTTGAAGTTGAAGGCATTTCAGAGCTTGAAAAAAAAACACAAATTTCAGTACTGTTCTGGAACAGTGAATTAGTAGTTGACGTGGTAATGAAGAGGGACGCTCATCCTTTTTATCTGAATGCACTGCTAAATTCAGGAGTTTGCTCACCTTATAAGCCCAGAGTATCTCCCACTTTCTGACATCTACCCTTGATAACTTCTCTATTATTAATTATCATCCCTTATTGTTTTATGCAATAGTGTTGCTTCCAAGTAAAAGTGGATGATTTGTACCTTAATATGATCCATCATGAGTTGTTTCTGTGCATACAACAGCGAGCAGTCCGGACACTTGAAGACAGATACTTTCTGGTTTTCAATGTGCTGGTCAAAGTGACGATACAGCAATGGCTGCAGGGTAAACACTGTGTCGCACATGGAACATTTGTATATTATTCTAAAAACCAAAGAGAGTTGAAGAAGTAATGACTGCCCATTGCAGTCCTTTAGTTCACAGAATGACTAAACAAAAGTGTTACTTGCAACAACAACAACAAAAAACCACATTCAACATTCTTTGCCCCCAAATCGATATATTACAATTTATTCAGATGCATTTCTCCAAGTAAGAGATACTTACAGAATATTTGGACATGATTGAAATGTTTTCACTTGTGCTTGTTATATTAGGATTCATACTGGCAGAAATTCACTTTGCCTCCAGATTTGGAGAACTATATGGAGGAAGAATGGAAGCCTACCTTTCAATCCTGCCTCAGTATGGACCCTAACTTCTGTATGTTAGCAATAGCATTTAAGGCTTATATATTGCCCCATAGCACTTTACAGCAGAGGTCCGCGACATTTTGGGCACCAGGGACTGGTTCCGTGGAGAGAGGTTTTTCTGCGGACCGGAGGGGGCGTGGTTTTGTGTGCTGCCTGCATCCCGTGGATGGGGCTTTGGTTGTTTATGCAGCCTGGTTTCTGGCATGCCGCGGCCCAGTACTGGTCCATGGGCTGGGGGTTGGGGACCTCTACTTTACAGCACTCTCTGGGTAGTTCACAATGTAGAGGCCCCCAGCAATCTGGGTCCTCATTTTACCAATCTAGGAAGGATGGAAGGCTGAGTCAATGTTGAACCTATCAGGATTTGTCTGCAATAATGCACTTTAACCACTGCGCCACCAGGACTCCATATTAGTTCCATAGATGCACAGTTGTGCTCAAACAGACATTCCTTACAGGTCTTTCAACTACTAATATGTAAAGGTCAGGAACATATCCAGAAGGGCGCAGTGATATTGGACAAAAGGCTAACGAGTATGATCCATTCCCTGCATTATAAATTCATTCTAAGGAAGTTTCCATGACATTCAAAGACTCTCAGTGTGAATTGCCAGAGGCAACAAAACACAAATTATTTTGCTGTTAATCAGGAAGTGTCGTCAGTCATTTACCATTAAGGCACATACTGATATTTTTGCCCCAAACAACATTTGAAGCAGGCACTGTTCCTCAGGCAAAACATTTGTGCAAGGTCAAGAGCTATCAAAAGTATTGTGGTGGTACCAGCAAAGATTTTTAGGTTTCTTTTCTAATCCCTAAGTTTCTTTTTAAATGGAAAAGCATTCTAAATGACTAGAAGTTAACTATTTAAAGCAGTCTGGCTTCACTGATAAAATAATGCGAATTTCCTGTTAAAGTTAACACAAATATCAATATTTTTACTGCAACATAAATTTTCCTAAACATGGGTGACCAATGTCTGAGAAACACGGTGCTCCAATTCAGTCTCTCAAACTCCTAAAGAACTGCAGAAAGCATCTGGTGTTGCTGTGACCAGATGGAAGGGACATGGCCAAATTGAAAAAATTGAAAACTTGAATCAGATCTTCCTTATGGTATCTTCCAACTCTAGAAGTGTACAGTTCTATAATATCTCAGGATCATAACAAGTGATAATCACATTTTACCAATATGCCCAATATTGTTCTTTATTTTCAAAAGTCTAAAACAAAGGTCCAAGAATAGCAGAGGCTGTTCATGAAAAAAAAACCAGGCACTGCTTAAGGTAGCAACATCCTAAAATACATCCTATATAGGCTTGGTTATGGGAGGAGGTATAGAGATAACAATCAAGGAATCTATAAAAGAGTTTTTACAAAAAATACAGCTTTGCACAGAGAATGTGCAGAAAATGCAGAGTGAATTTCAAAGCTATGAGTGCAACAGAAATCAAAATCACGGAGAGAATATCATCCAAATCCTCCTTATTCTTACTAACCCTCTTCCCTCATAAAGTCTTTTTATTCTTGGCTATGGTTGCATCACAAACTAGCCAACCACATTACAATGTAATATGAGGAATACAGGCAGCCCTCTACTTACAAACATTTGTTTAGTGACCATTTAAAGTTACAATGGCACTAAAAAAAGCAACTTATGACCGTTTTTCACACTTATGACCATTGCAGCATCCCCATGATTATGTGATCAAAATTCAGACGCTTGACAACTGACTCATATTTATGACGATGGCAGTTTCGCAAGATCACATGGTCACCTTTTCTGACCTTCTGACAAGGAAAGTCAATGGGGAAGCCAGATTCACTTAACAGCCATGTTACTACTTTAACAACTGCAGTTGCTTCACCCAGCAACTGTGGCAAGAAAGGTCGTAAAATGGGGCAACATTCACTCAACAGCTGTCTTGCTTAGCAATGGAAATATGGGGCTCAATTGTGGTCATAATTCGAGGACTACCTGTAAGTCAAAGCAGAGTAATAAATGGATTATCATCATGCAGACACTGAAAACAGGTCATTGAACAAACATTTCAGTTAACCATAGGTGTTTCCCATTCACCTATTAGGCTCAGAATTCCTGTTGCTAAGCAAGGCAATTGTTGAGTTGAACCCAATTTTACAACCTCTTTTGCCACAGTTTTTAAGCAGATCATTGAGGCTGTTAAATGAATCATGTGGTTGTTAAGCAACTCGAGCTTCCCTCACTGACTGTCGGAAGCCAGCTTGGAAGGTCACAAATGGCGATCCTATTATTCTGGGGCACTGTAACTTTCCTAAATGCATGCCGGCTGCCAAGCTTCTAACTTTTGATCACATGACCATAAGGATGCTGCATGGACATCAATGCAAGGATTGGTTGTAAGTCATGTTTTCAGTGCCACTGTAACTCTGAACAGTTCTTAGAACCATGACTGTAAAAGAAGGGCTGCCTATATTTGGAAATCCCTCAGCAATTTCTAACTGAAGCAACTGATTCCAGATATTCAAAATGTTGCCATCATTTTAAAGCTGCTTTGCCCTCCATTTGTATACCATAAAGGCTATCACTTCTTTTGCCCACAGAAACATGGGCTTCCTTTGTCACACTCAGTATCAGGGTCTTTTGGGTCCATTATTACAAGTTTCAAATTTCTTTGTTAGCATTTAACTCACTTCCTTTGAACAGGAACTGATGTCTAGGATTTCAGGGGCATCCGTGAAACAATAGCGGTAGTAAAAATAATCAAGATGATTATTGAAGACATCCCTATTTTTTATGTGTATAAAAATGGCTGGCTGGAGAATTCTGGGAGTTGAAGTCCACAAGTCTTAAAGTTGCCAAGTTTGGGCACTCCTGCTCTAAAGAATGTCATTTATCCTCCAGGCACAGCAGCTTCCTGTTCTTTGGTTCAATTGTTGCCACTTGTGTAATTCAGGATTATCTTTCTCTCTGGTCCAGTGATTTGACCAAAACAGGATTTCCGTCTTTCTGCCTACTCTCCAATTACAACTGCAGCTAATAGCTAAGCCAGGGATGGGGAGTGGGGAACAAGGGTAAATAGTCCATAACTGAATTCAGCAGGATATAAAATGGTTCACTGAAGTTAACTCCCACACAAAATAGTATGGTGGAAACGTAACCCAATATATCAGATCCAAATGTCAGTTTTAAAGGCCATCCATAGTGGAAAAGGCAGTAAGCATTCTGGCTTAACAGAAATTCTCTCAAAATAATCACTCTTATATGCATTGCCCTGAGCCAAAATCAAAGAACACTCTTAGTGCAACTCCTCCATTTGTAGCATCTAAATCAGGCACGTCAAACTGCCGGCCCATGGACCGGATGCGTCACACCGAAACCACGCCCACCCCATTGCCGGCAATGGGTGAAAAGTCACAATACATTGCGCGACGTCACGTGATGTCGCGAATTTGACATGCCTGATCTAAATGGAGGGGCAAAAACCCTCAAATTCAGAACTTTTCTTTTAGCTTGAGATGGATTGCTCCAACCTTGCAAAAGGAGCTTATTTTCTACCTGAAATATCTGATACACATTTTATACATCTTATATTGCAACTGCATTGTCCAAAAGGCACAGCGCGCGCCCTTCAGCTCTAGCGATATGAATTACAGATAGTCTTCGACTTACAATAGTTCATTTAGTAACCATTCTATGTTACAACAGCACTGAAAAAGGTGCCTTGTCGCCATTTTTCACACTTATGACTTTTGCAGCATTCCCATGATCACATAATTAAAATTTGGATGCTTGGCAACTGACTCATATTTATGACAGGTGCGGTCTCACGGTGTCATGTGATCTCCTTTTGTGACCTTCTGACAAGCAAAGTCAGTGAGGAAGCCAGATTTCCCTAACAACCATGTTACTAACTTATCAACTGCAGCAACTGTGGCAAGAAAGGTCGTAAAATGGAACAAAACTCACTTAACAACTGCCTCACTTAGCAACAGAAATGTTGGGCTCAATTGTGGTCATAAAGTCGAGGACTATCTATACTAAGTGCTTTTGCCTTTCCCTGCTTCTCAAATAGCATATTTTTTTAAAAAAAAGCTCTACCACTTTATACAGGATACACTTCTTAAGAAAATAAGCATACATTATGCCATTTGAGCTTCAATAATTTCTGGAATTTAACAAAAAGAACACTTACTTAGGCTCTCCTATTTTGATTCCAGGATGTTGTGTATAGGCATGGGAATGGGTGCTGGGTGCTGATTTGAATGCCATTGGGCAAATAGGACACTTGTAGAAGACTTCACAATGAGAACCTTGAATATGGGACTTGAGTGCAGCCACGTCAGAATATACCACGTTGCAGTGGACACAGCTGTAAGAAAGATAGGATAGAGGTTGTAAATGATACTGCTATTTTTTTTCTACACAGATTTCTAACTGGGCACAGAATATTACTCAAGCAGAATTACAGAAAAGAAAGCATGAATTCGTCAATAAACATTGGAAAAGATTCTTATTGTAGCTGAAAGGAAAGCAATGGGTGATGGAGTAGGGCAGGACCCAGAGGTGGTTTTTCAAAAGGCAACTGGACTTTCTCTGTTTTTCCTTGAAGATGTTTCGCTTCTCATCCTAGAAGCTTCTTCAGTTCTTCACAACTTCTTGGATAATAATAACAATAACAACAACAATAATAATAAAGTTGGAAGGGACCTTGGAGGTCATCTAGTCCAACCCCCTGCTCAGGCAGGAAACCCTATACCATTTCAGACAAATGGCTGTCCAGTCTCTTCTTAAAAACTTCTAGTGTTGGAGCATTCACCACTTCTGGAGGCAGGTTGTTCCACTGGTTAATTGTTCTGTCAGGAAGTTTCTCCTTCGTTCTAGGTTGCTTCTCTCTTTGATTAGTTTCCATCTGTTGCTTCTTGTCCTGCCCTCAAGTGCCTTGGAAAATAGCTTGACTCCTTCTTCTTTGGGGCAGCCCCTGAGATATTGGAACACTGCTATCATGTCCCCCCTCGTCCTTCTCTTCATTAAACTAGACATACCCAATTCCAGCAACCATTCCTTATATATTTTAGCCTCCAGTCCCCTAATCATCTTTGTTGCTCTTCTCTGTACTCTTTCTAGAGTCTCAGCATCTTTCTTACATCGTGGTGACCAAAACTGGATGCAGTATTCCAAGTGTGGCCTTACCAAGGCATTGTAAAGTGGTATTAATACTTCACTTGATCTTGATTCTATCCCTCTGTTAATGCAGCCCAGCACTGTGTTGGCGTTTTTGGATGAGAAGCAAAATGTCTTTAAGGAAAAACAGAGAAAGTCAAGTTGCCTCTTGAGGAAAAAAAAGCCCCTTTGGGACAACATGGATGACTGAGAATCTCCATAGATGAATAGGGAAAGAGATTTTACCTTCCTACATGAAACATAGATCTGCGTACAGAGACATCCTGGAAGTGAGATAAATTCACAACAAATAATAATTTTTAAAAGATCTACAATTGTCTTTCCGGCAGTACAAAAATAGAGACAGCCAAGGCAGTTGCTCTTTGGCAGCTGTATCACATGGAAGAAGTTCCCTAACATTCCTTGTGCAGGATGTAAAGACACAGCTGGGTGAGCCTGGTCAGAGGCTTGCTGAGAGAAGCCACAGTGGCCAGGAAAAAGGTACACCTTGGGCCTCTGTTCATTTTAAATATTGCTATTTGGCTTTATACCTAGCAGAAGGGCACAGCTAATAAAAATGATTACAACTTAATAAATATTTATTTATTTATTTATTTATTTAATTACATTTTTACCCCGCCCTTCTCCTTGCGGACTCAGGGCGGCTGACAGCCTGATAAAAACAGATACAAAAATACCCCAAAACTATCTTTAAAAACAGAATTAAAATAAAATATTAGATTTGGCCATTTTTAATTTTAAAATTGTTTTTAAAACCCCGCTAAAATTTCCCCTTAGGCCAGTCCTGCTAGTTGAAATAGCCATGTCTTAAGGGCGCGGCGGAAGGAAGGGAGATCCGGGATCACCCGGATCTCTGGGGGTAGTTCGTTCCAGAGGGTGGGAGCTCCCACCGAGAAGGCCCTCCCCCTGGGAGTCGCCAGCCGGCACTGTCTGGCTGACGGCACCCTCAGGAGACCCACTCTGTGGGAGCGTACCGGCCGATGGGAGGTAATCTGCGGCAGAAGGCGGTCTATATATAACATTGACGATAAATCTGCGGCAGAAGGCGGTCTAAATATAACATTGACGATAAATATAGTAGAATTTAAAAGGAAAAAAAAGATAAGACAATACATCTTTCCTTCCATATCAGGTAACTGCTTTTCAAAATTCTGAGCTATTCACATGTGTGAACTATGATGTTAAAATATGTCCACGTATAAGATATGAGGACAATACAATACAGGAGATAATATATTAAGATAAAACCATAATAAAATAACCGTAACTTGGAGCCATAGAATTGCAATGGGATAGATGTTATAATTGGCTTAGATTAAACTATGCAAAACTTGTATTCCCTGTTCTCAGGGTGCAATATGAGACAATGGAAGCCTTACTATATTTTTATGAGCGCTACGTGGCGATCAAGCAAAAACAAACTAGCTTTCATACATGACATTTTGAACTATTTTTCTTGCCAAGATCAGTCCATACTATACATGGAAAGATGCTGAAAATTTACTCCAATCTGTGCAAAGTAAGGAAGTGAAAACCAGGGTTTCCTCCTACATCAGTGTTTTCAAATTTGGCAACTTTTAAGATATGTGGACTTTAATTCCAGCCAGCATGTCCACACCTCTTAAAGTTGTGTTTGAAAAACACTGGACTACATTGCCTTCTGAGATGTAGACGCCCTATTTCTATTGCCTTTAAGATGGAATTGAATGCCAAAATTTTCCACAGGGCATTTGGGCAGAGAGTTGTGATACTTTAGCTCAGCTGGAGAATTGTGGTGCTTTACCATCATTTACAATCATCACTTTAAATCTTAAGCAGTGTGTAAAATGTGGTATAATTTATATGTTTGTATAAGTGTAGAGGGCATAAGGAATGGCCCTGAAGAACAGGAGGAAGAGTCCAAGGCTGTGATCAGATAAGCAGCCGTGGAGGCTGTTCCAAGAAACTAACTTGAGTAAAGATCTCAAAATCTCATACTACAGACAGAACCACTATTTAATAAGCAAAAACAAAGGTTATACGTACAGATAGTCCTCGACTTATGACTATAATTGATCCCAAATTTTCTGTTGTTAAGTGAGACATTTGTTAAGTGAGTTTTGCCCAATTTTATGACCTTTTCTGCCACAGTTGCTAAGTGAATCACTGCAGTTGATATGTTACTAACCTGGTTGTTAAGTGAATTTGGCTTCCCCATTGACTTTGCTTGTCAGAAGGTTGCAAAAGATGACCCTCAGACACTGCAATGGTCATAAATATGAACCAGTTGCCAAGTGTCCGAATTTTGATCACATTATCATGGGGATGCTGCAAAGGTCATAAAATGGTCGTAAAACTCTGAGAAACAATCGTCAGTCACTTTTTCAGTGCCATTGTAACTTTGAACGGTCACTAAATGAACTGTTGTAACTCAAGGACTACCTGTGCAACTTGATCCTTTGTGAGACAGCAGTTAGTTTGGTCTGGAAGGTAAAAATATATTTTCTGATGAGAAAAATTTCCCATGAGGCTTCTACCCCCTTAATCAACAAGATAGAGATAGTGATCAAGATAGTGACAAAGGAAAGGCATACTTCCTTTCCAGTCCCAATAGAGTGTGACTTTTGTATATATTTGAATAATTTTAAATCATCGTCATCATACTAACCGGAATCCAACTCTTCTTGTATAATGCAGGCAATTCTTTGTGACATGAGTTTGGAAGTGGACTGATCTGCAAATGGCCCCACATTCAGGACATGTATATGGAGATTTATGCTGATGTATCCTCTGATGTGATGCAAAACTGCACAAATTTGGAAGCAACATCTGGCAGATACTGCAGGTCTTCTACAGAATTAAAAAAATTGCGACAATCAGCCATTGAACATAGGCACAAATACTCCACAGTACAGAGTTGGTTACGACCTGCCAGAAACCTTTGAAATAAAATCACATTAGGAAATACCAGCATTCAAAATAATAACAGTAAAATGGCCATTACCTACAATTGCTTTGTCTTTTGTCCTTTTACACATTCAGATTAAAAACAACTTGCACATTACAATCCGTAAGGTACAAATGTTTCTTCACTTGCCTTCACTTCTTACCCTTTCCTTTTCTACCTTCTTTTCTCTTCCACTAAGATGAAATTAGATTGTAAATTCCTTGGTACAGATCTCCCTTCTTTTGTTTACAGTGCCTCCCTTTGATTGCAACCAATAAAGTGT